CAAAATGGTATAAATTTAATTTTTTCGATTTCTTCTTTCCTTTTACCGACAAATTTGTAGGTTTTTTTTAACCAAACCATCATTTTAAATAAAAATGTAAAAGTAAGCACTGGAATTGATAAATTATCTATACAAGGATAATATGAACCAAATATTATGGGTATTGATGCGTATACTGAAGCTATTAAACATAGTTTTATATACAAATATCCAGAAGTCGGAGGCCGCAGCGAAAGAAGAATAAATGATAAAAGAAGAGTTATTATTAATGAAATATATATATGAAATGACATTATAGGTTTAGCCATTATGAAGATTATTTTTTTAAGTCTGTGCGGAGTGAATAAAAATAAAAAGGTTAAAAAACAACCTCGAAAACATTTTATATGTCATTTTTTCTATTTTTCTCAGGCAAATTCCGATTATTACTGATATATTCAGATATATGCATTAATCACGCTTTGTTGACAAATCTTCCGATAGTTCAGGAACCTGATTAAGCACAGTTATAGTAATTTTAAGCGAATATCCATTATATTATAGTTATACGTATTTGTAGAATATGTTAAATACAATAGCGATAGTCTACATTTCAATTTAAGGTATCGTCAATTTTACGTGTCCTATGCATTAGACATATAGTGAATTATTCTGCATACACGTGGGTTATAAATTTTTTATTTTAACTTTAATAATATTAGTTATATAAGTCATTTTGATAAGTATCTATGGCGAACAAGGCGTTTTAAAGATATAACGATAAAAGAAATTTTTATTTATAGAAATCTTATTGTACATCCTGTGAAACACTTAAGAGTCCAGTTTTGTTTAACATAAACATATTTAAAACAATATGGAAATATTTACATGATTAACATGATAATAACGATAAATAAGTTTTAATAGTCAGGGTATATCAGATATCATGCTATGCTTATCATTATTGGTCAAATTAAAATTAACGTATTCAAATTTTATTCCCAGCAAGGAAATGGTGTACACTACGTATTAAAATAAGTATCCAAATATATACAAAGCTTGTATGCTTGAATTAATAATAATATAATTATTAATTACTATATATCGATATCTACCAGTAATGGTTTATACCAGGGTATATACATAAGTATATATTATGTAATATATGATCTAATTAAACTATCAAAGTTTATAATATTAATCTAAGCTTGCCAAATACGCGATTCAACCATTGTTTGAAGAACAGCTTCATCTGCAATCCCGATGATGTCTAAACTCTCTTCTTTCCCTGAAGACATAATTGCTTTTTATCCAATACTTCCCTTAATTGTTCTATTAAGGGTTCAATATTACCCGCAATAATGTTCTTGTAGGCTTCGGATTTCTTTCTTGCTTCTTCAAAAAAGAGATCTACAGAAGTCGTGTAATTGTTCGTCATAATGTGATAAAATCACTTTATCGTCTCCACTATTCTCTTGATTACAATTTGCTAAGTCATCAAGAGACAGCACAAGTCACGAACATATGCTAGATTGTGACTCGCTTCCCACCACCTCAGCAGAAGTTGACGGATACAGCACCTACGAGAAGACCTGACATTCTTTTCTCCCAGTATCGCAAGGCGTAGCACACAGTACTGTAAAGCAAAATGTGCATGTCTTACTTTTTCCTATATATTCCGAATCCTCCCAATTAATTGTTTAATGAGCGTTAGTTTTTCAGATTCCATTTTGCGTATTAGATTTTGTTGCTAGATCAAATTTTAAGCAATGATTACGTACATAGGAGGACAAGGAAGCAGAGACCTGATCGAGAAGATAAACAAAAAGGAATTTTATAAAAATAGCTTTTTTGAAAGAAAATTATTAGAAAACAGCTTCAAACTTAGACAACTTACAAACTATAACAACCCTGGTGCTCAAGCTAAGATAGGTATTTCATTTACTAAGCATGAAATCTGAACCCCTTTTTGTCCTTCATGGTATAATAAAATCGACTTGCGTCGGCATGATCATTAAAATGAACATGAGCATGGCTAAAAAAAAAATCATTATCCGGCCTTGTCGCCAGTAAGCACAGGTCTTTCTTTTGTTTCTGGTTTTAGGTTCCGAGTCAAAGCCTTTGATTCAGCACTCAAAGCGCTACATGCAGTTGCCAAAAGTTCCAAAATTGCTACAAGTTTAGGAAAATTTTCTTTCTTTATTGCAAGATCGCAATGACTCGTGATTTAGATACCTTTTCGATGAAATGGTGATTTGGGAGTGGAATATTCTGATATACGGATACACAGAGTATTTTAATATTTTATAGTGAAGAACAATAAGGGTTTAAGTTTGCATCTTGTCATGTGGAATGAAAAAAAGATTAACGTGTTTGTAAAGTTGAACGCGTTTATCATAAATAAGATCAATTGTAGCACACGCATATGATCTGTTGTTGTTGGAGCTCATATGAAAAAGAATACTATAATAATACTAAGCATAATTATTTATTATATTCTGTGTTCTATATTTCATATTGTTATTTAATTTAAATTTTGTACTCGTAAAATTCGAACATGAGTACTCTAACAAACCATAGAAAAATCAACATTTTAAAAAATGGCCAAGATTATGGGAAGTTTGTATGAAAGATACTATAAGACATACTATATCATCAATGTCAGAAATGGTTTATTAAACCATGTGGTCCCTTTATGTCATTACTACATCATTTACATCATTGATTCAGTAACAGCAATCACTTAGTTATTTTCTATGCTTCATCCTTCTCACTGATAATTGGAATTTCGTTTTATAATAATATATAAATCGCTTGCATTATCATCATAAGTAAATAATACCCTTCTTATCTACTCTCTATTTAGAAGCACTATTTTTTAAATAATCCTGTTCTGCTTTTAAATACTCACGTTTATGAGAATTATCAAATATATTTATACATATTTTTTTTTGTTATAATTTTGAGCTAGATGATTCTTGTTGTAAATTATTCTTCACAGAAATAATATACCCGTTTATTTCAAGCGGTAATTGGTGTGTCGTTTTTTCTAGCCACTACTTGGTGGAAATTAAATGAGAACACTACCACCTAGATCTCCGAGTATAAACGCTACTACTCATACTCCGAATAAATGTTGAATTATATTTTAAAATTTGGTATTTGTAATCTATACAAGGTAACTATCCTTTACCAAGGAGGCATAAACAAATTATTTCCCTTACGTGGGAAACGTACCAGAAGTAAAGCCTTTCGGTGGAAAAAATCAAATCTAAAACCTATCATGTCAAATCTTTACAACACTACATCTCTCTTCGATATAAAAATAATAGCAGATTTAATACGTATCAAAATCTCATTTTAGGATTTAGATCGACTGACTGAAAATAAGAAATATAATGATTAGGCGTTGGTAGCTAGAATTTTTCAATCATTTTCTGGTTATACGTAATAATCGCTTATGAATTCATAGCACTTATTTCGGGATTTTTTTGGTTCTTCATATCTTATTTCGTGTCCTATTTACTTGGTTTAGCTATTCATGCCTTTTTTTTGCAATTAAAATCAAAAATCTTGGCTAAATTTTGTTTAACCAAATAAATTCTCAGAATAGGAATGCCTTTACCAGAAATACATAAAATTATATTAATTAATTTATAATCAACTAAATTTGTATTAATTTGTATTTATTTAATTTCTATAAAACTTTTTACGGGTGTCTGATGCCCGGATGCATTCTCTAAAAAAAAAAACTGTAATCATGTGAATGTGTAACAATGAAATACGTGACTATATTTTTCAATGGTCTATTAACAATGACTATTTTTCCAATGGTCTATTAACAATGAAATATGTGACTATATTTTCATTAATGATCTATGAATAATAAAATACGTGGCTATATTTTCATTAAATAATTTTATACTATATAATAATAATAATAATCTACAATATAATTAAAAAAAAAAAAAATTGACAAAAAGAAAAACAAAAAAATCAAAATCAAAACTATATACTACATATTAATTAAATTAAGGTCATTATTAATGTTTATGAAAACAATTATTACAATTGTTCTTTTTAAACACATTAGGTTGGAAATCATCACAACCACATTCTGCGCATGGTTCAACTTCACTAGCAGAAGCTCTATTTTTTCCAAAAAATTCTTGAGGGATATATGAATTTCTTGATGTACTAGTGTTCGGTGGGGTACTAGTCCGAGAAATACTAGCTGCAGCTGATGAATAATCTGTTGTTTTTTGACGAGATACAGAACTGCGGGAAGGTGGAGGTTTTGAATTGCGAGATGGAATAGGTGGTATTCCGGATGAAGTGCTTGAACGTGTTGAAGATCTTGATGAAGTTTTGCGGGGTGGCACACTGTAATAATTATTACGCGATGGTGTTTTCTTTTGTAGTGGTTCTTCACTTGATTCATCATCTTCAAGGTCTTCAAGCTGACTAGGTTCTTCATATATTTGTTCATCATTTTGATAATCTTCATGCGAAGATTTTTTAACTGAACTTGACACTCTACGTGATGGTTTTGCAGGTATTTCTTCGGTATAATTTGCAGGAAACATACCACTTCGACGAGTACCATCGTCATCAATAATTTCTCCAACCCACCAACCTTCATGCTCTTCTAAAACGGTGATAATATCACCTTCCTCCATCGCAAGTTCGTCTTCACCATCACCTTCATAACTATATAAAGCTTTTACCTGTTTTTTTTGTGTAAAAGAACCACCTTATAACAAGAAAATTAATGTAATTAATATAAAATTAAAATAAGGGAGTTGTTATTGCCACCTCCCAATTTGTTAGTGCCGCCCCCACAAAATAAAAAATTTAAAAACTTTGAGCGAAGATACATCAACAACTACCTGCTTGAATCTGATAAAACCTTTTAGATTTGAATTCTATGGATTCATAGAATTCAAATAAAAAAATTCATAGAATTTAGCCATGTGGTTGTCGAGAAAAATCAAAACGCCTATAAAGTAGGAATTGCGCAAAATTTTCTCTAACTTTGAGCGAAGATATCTCGATAACCATCTGACCAATTCGATAAAACTTTTTTTGTTTGAATTCTACGGGTATATAGAATTCATATAAAAAAATTATTATTGAATTTAGTCAAGGATTACAGAGATATCTTCGCTAAAAATCAAACTGTATATCAAAATAGAAGCTATGCCAAATTTTCTTTCTAACTTTGAGCGAAGATATTTCGTTAACTATTTAACCAAATTTGATAAAACTTTTTATTTGAATTCTATGGATTCATAGAATTTAAATAAAAAAAATTCATCGCATTTAATCAAGTGTTTATTGAGATATCTCCACTCAAAGAAAAAATCAAAATGCGTATCAAAATAGAATCTACGACAAATTTTCTTTCTAACTTGAGCTAAGATATCTCAACATCCACTTGACTAAATACAATGAAATTTTTTTATTTAAATTTTGTGAATGCATAAAATTGAAATAAAAAATTTTTAATGAATTTGGATAGACCGTTAACGAGATATCTTCGTCAAAGTTAGAGAGAAAATTTATATTTTGATAGGCGTTTTATTTTTCTCTAATTTTGAGCGAAGATACCTCGATAGCCACTTGACTAAATTAGATGAAAATTTTTTATTTAAATTCTATGAAACTATAGGATTCAAATAAAAAAAGTTTTATCGAATTTGGTCAGATAGTTACCTAATATCTTCGCTCAAAGTTAGAGATAAATTTGGCGTAGCTTCTATTTTGATAGGCATTTTGATTTATTCTAATTTTGAATGAAGATATCTTGACAACCACACGGCTAAATTCGATATAAAAAGTTTTATCAGATTCAAGCAGGCAGTTGTCGATATATCTTCGCTCAAAGTTTTTAAAATTTTTATTTTTACAGAGATCTGCAACACATAGTCTATATATCATGTGGGATGGCACTAACAAATTGGGAGGTGGCAATAACAACTCCCTAAAATAAATATATTAATATCGGTAAACTGCTTACTTGTTCTTCGGGCAGGTGACTGTCTACCTCCCGAATCAAAAGATTTAACAGATGATCCCGATGACTTGTTACGAGTTGATGCGTTGGGAACACTAAGATTATTATCATTTTTAGAATTATTACTTTTATAATTTGTAGATTTCCTAGTAGTTGATCGAGATTCCCTGGAGCGATTGTAACTCGATTGTGAATGAGAACTTTCATTGTCAGAATTTTGATCATCAGGTTCATCTGATTGAGAATTATTAGATTTTTTATTTTTTTGCGAGGTTCGGGTACGCCGAGTTGCTGTCGTTGAAACGCTGTAAATCAAATAAATCAAGGAAAATGATTAACTATTAAATAAAATTTGATTATTGAATATATTTTGTAAGTAACCAACCCTTTTTGAACCCAATCCTTTCTCAAAGTTGATAAAATGTCGCAACTATTTTTAAAATATTCTATTTGTGAGTCTAAAAATGCAGTTAATTCTTGTATGTATTGATCCTAATATTATAACAAAATTAACTATAAACAAATTTGCCAGTAGTAATATATATATATCAAAAAAAAAAAAAAACACTAACTTCAGATTCGTTTATTGTAACCATCTTTTTATTAAGCTCTTCTTTTGTATCTTCATATTTTTCTTTAGCGGCACGCATTTCTTCTTCTAGTTCTGGTTTTTCCTTTTTTGATTTTTGCATTTTACTTAATTTTGCGTCGTAATTGAGTCTACGAGACTCTAATTTTCTTTTCATATTCTAATATTCACAATGTAAAAAAATATTTAATAATTCATACAATGCCAATACTATTATAAATATTATTATTATTTTGAAAATAAAAAAGTAGCAATTAGGCCTTACTTGATATTGTTTTAAATCTTCAATAGAAGCATCTAAACTTTCAAGAAAATCTTCACGAACTTTTGATACATGTTCCAATTGACAACTTGCAATCTTTTCATTGGCAATGCCGAGTTTGACCAAAGCCTCTCCTATAATGAATGCATATTTAGATTATGATTACTTTTAAACATTGGGAAATAATAAAGCGGTAATTAGAAGTGAATTAATATTACCATAAGGAGAATCAGAACCTAGATCTTCACCATAAACTCTCATAGCAATACCTAAAGATTCGGTAGGTAATGCTTTTGTTTTCTCTTCTATGGACGCCACCTTTTTTGCTATTTGTGTTTATATGTATTAAATCAATTAATGTTATTGCTAAAGGTTACCGTAAATGTCTAATAAATGAAAGTAAACAACGAATACCTACACATGGCCTTCAAATAGCTGCTCACCGCAAATATGAGTTTATCGACGCCAATGTGCCTTGCATCAGTTTTGTGTTGCAATTCTTGAAATTCATCTGTGGTCTGCGTCTTCTGAGAAGCACCGACCTTCTCATTGGCCCACTAATGCCACGGAGCAAGAATAAAATGTGTAGAGTTAATAACTTGGAGCGATCTAAGAATAAGAAGTGAATACAGTATCCGTATGTATGAGACCTGTTTTAATTTTCCAATGTTTTTTTTCATATTTTCGTTTTTTTTTCCTTAAGATCGCAAGTAATAAGATAAAAAAGAGTGTAAAAAGTGATCGGCTATTTTTATATTTGTAACCACAATATATAGAAAAATAACGATAGTTGGATGAAACAAATATATAAAACATGCTTTATTTAAATGTTACAAGTTGTGTAATCATGCTGTTGTCTGCTTTTGGGTTTTGAAAATTTTCTTTAACATTAACGTTAATCAGAAGATTGTGTTGCACAAGATTAAATTTACCAGTCACGTACTATAACTTAATAGGAATAGTCGAAAACCAGTTCTTGCGGATCGAACCATATTCAACTCGTTATACAGGAAAGCAGAATCAACGTAAAGGCTCGAATTCCGGTCTCAATTAGGAAGTCTGGGACTATATAAATTTATTCTTATAAAAAATGTGTATCTGGCTTATATCGCATCGAAACGTAAAATTCAACCGATAAATCAACCTCAGTTAATGATGTTTTGCACTAAATATGAGACAATTTCTCTAATGACCAATTCATCTGGGTGTAGGAAGTGTAAAGAGAATCGGAAAAAAAAATAACAAATAGAAAATGCTATCAACTATATATGCTATAAAGTATATCGATTTAGGACCAAGAACAAGACGACAAAGGAAATCTTTTCAATCAAAGTCGGTGAAGATTCGTAGAAGTATCATATTAAATAAATGGATAGGTTAAAAATCAACAACTCAGTTGGCAGGCTCCCTTATGTGTGTTGTCAATCAAATGAGGCACAAAGCAAAGAAAATAAGGATTCCAATCATAACGCATATGTGTTATGGCTGCAGAGGAAAAATCATATGAAACGTACAAATAATTATTTATTTGCAAAAGAGGTTATGATGACTACAGTATATAGGATCTGTGCACACAACTAGTACAGGACCAGGATTTTCAATAGTAGTCTACGACTTCTTGTAACTGGAGAAATTCATCAAAATTTAGATGGATACAACATACAGGACTTAGCGAAGACGCTGAGCTTTGTAATATAATAACTGATATTGAAGGCAGTTTCGGAGATAAATGCTGCATTAAAATGTGTATGGCAGCCCAATTCTGTGCTTGGCACATAAATCAGATCCTAAACTTAGTAAAAAGTCATGACATTCGACGTTATTTTAAGCAGCAATGAGTTTGAACTTACTTTATATCCTACATGAAAAGATCGTAATCCATAAATATATACTATCTGCCCGATGCAGATGCATGTTGATATGTTAATATGTACCAATTAATGTCTTTGATACCCATGAAGGCCACTAACACTAATAGGTATGAAAGTTTTATGGATGGGCATTAATCGAAGACGATCATATAGTGTGTCAGAATTGACAAAGAATGAGGACGCGATCGACTATTAGAACCAAAAGCAGCAGACGAGAAAAATCTTTTTTTTTTTTTGTAGGTAATGATCTGACTTAATGCTTTTTTAGGAAAATTTAAAATTTCCGGTCGATAAGTAATTTATCCGGATTATTATTAAGATGAAAAGATTTAGGCAAAACTTACCATTTTGACACAGTTGCAAAAAATATCCGGAAAAACTTTACCTTTCGTGATTTGAAAATGATTAAACTATATCGCGTTACACGGTAGATCATTTGCGCCAATATTTCACTAGTTTTCGATAATTTTAAACGATTGCTAACGGGTTCATGGCATTCAAATTTATTAAAAATGATTTGGCTATTGTTTAAAGGCAATATTTGTGAATACAGGAATAACTGACCTGTCGATCTTGGGCAGGGATCCGCGATTTTATTAATGGGAATTTCAAATCCTATAAATAAAATTAATATTTTTCCGAGCCCCTGATCTTGGGTTTAAACAAATTATTGTTTGTAGCTTAGCACAAAATGGTTCCTATTCTTAGGTTATCAATGACAATATCACATAAGCTCATAAGCCACACGGGTCTCTTTAAACCATCTAGAACCCGATTAGATTCTGTAAGGAACGAGGGTCTATTATCATTATTATTAAGAGATTAAAATAGAACCTAAAAAATATTATACTGTACTAGTTGTAAACCCGTGCAATAATGCACAGGAATAAACTTATAAAATTTTTAAATATAATTTTAAATAAGGCCATGCAAAATTAATTAATTGGTTTTCATAACCCAGCCGGGTCAAAATTTGAAAATTTCAAAAAAAAATTTTTTTATGTTTTAATAGCCAGGTGGGTTTTAAAAACAAAAATTATATAAATTTTATAAAATTTTATATATGAAATTTAAAAAAAAAAGCTGGCTGGCCAGGTTTATTTAAAAGTTTCATGTTATGAAAATCAAGTAATTAAATTTGTATGGCCTAAAATAAAATATATAGTAAAACTTTTATAATTATTAAGCTTGCAATGCATGAAAAAGATTTAATATAAAATAAAATAAAAATTTAAATCTAAAGCAAATTAATTTAAAATTTTATCTTTAATATAGATTATAATTTGGTTTTGTTTGATTTTAATTTATTAAAACCAAAATTCATTGCTTCTTAAATATTTAGAATCTAGTAATTAGAATTAAATAAACTCTTTTTTATTAAATATATCTCACTAAGAGCTTTTATTTAAAAAAAAATTTATCCAGATTGGACTTCTGGTTGCCAAGATAATTACAAAAAACTAGAGTTTTTATCTGAGTCAAATGACCTGTACAAGTTACCTGACCCAATGGGTCACAAGTCAAATTTTGGTTTACTTGGGTCAGAACCCAATCTATATAGAATTTATACCAGCTATCTTTCAATACACTTATCCACCAATCACAATCTACCTATGTGATTTTATTCTTTTTTTACAAGTAAATTATGCATATATTATGCTTTTGCATAATTTTGAATATCTTAATCAGAATCTTGGCACATCAAAAATTGTTTCAGCCCTGGTTAGTTATTTAGTTTTTTCAGGTTTTTTGATATGGTAAATGAAAGAACTTAAATCACAAGCAAGGTGAAAAAATCTTTCCAAAAGTTATTGGTCTTGGCATATATCACTTATTGACCCGGGTCAAAAAAGTCAACTCGGGTTCAATCTGGGTTACTATTTTTTGACCTAGATAAAATCTCTACAAAAAACTACTTTTTGTATATTTTGAACTCAAAGTAGATTACATTGAACCCAAAGTAAATCCACTTTGAATCTAAAGTGAATCCAATTATAGTTTCTTTAAATTTATATGAGAAGTTATTAAGTAAAGATATCTTCAAAATCTAAGTAAAGTTGTAGAGGAGATAATTCTGAATCAAATGGTGGTTAGATTATTAAAATCAGGCTAGTAGTTATTAAAATATACGAGATTAAAGATCTAAATATAAGGATTAACATTACTGTATCATTGGGGAAATTTTTTTACTGCTGTTCTGCACAGATTTGCAAAAAAATTAAATATTAAATTAAATAAAAATCTGTGCAAAACTTCAGACTCACTAGCTATAGCTACAGAATTAAATACAGTTCTGTGCAAAATTTCAAAATATGAAAAATTTTGTAGTTTTTTGCAAAAAATTCTGCAAAAATCTGCATTTTCACAGGTTTTTGCAGATTTGTACTTATTTAATTCTCCCAATAATATGAAAATCAATACTTTATGTAATAGTAACTTTGCTAATCCTTATATTTACGCCTTTAACCCAAGATATCTCAAAAACCACTAGGCCAATTTGATGATCTAACTACTATTTGACTTAGAATTATCCCCTCTAAAACTTTATTTAAATCTAAAAAATATCCTTACTTAATAACTTCTTGTATAAATTTAAAAAATTTATTGACAAATCAGAATAACAAATTTAATATATATATATATATATATATATTTTTTTTTTCCTTTGATAACCATGTACTAAAATTTTATTAAGGTCTGATGTTCAATACAAGACTAAACTACTTAAT